GTTTTCTTCCAATAAACTAAGCCAGAGCATTTAAAACACAATCTTAACTAATTTTATTCTCTTTATATTTGTTATTAATATTAATTAATGCTGCATAGTGGTACTACCACATACCAACTGGGTGGCCATAATTACATTGGCCCTCTGTGCCTCAGTTTTCCCATCTATATAATGGGATGATAATAGCATGCACTTCTTAGGGCTATTGTGAGGATTAAATACATAAGGCACCTTGTGCCTGCCATAGAGCAAGCATTCAAGAATTGCTAGCATGCTTCTTTTCATTGTTGTTATTATTCTTTGGGATGTCCTAGAGAGGCTGGTGGCTTAATTGGGAGAGGGGCTAAAGCACTCTGACCCCGCCCCCACACTTGACGTCCCTCTGCCCCTGCCATGACAGGCAGTGACTAGGCTCTGATCCCATCTCTGAAACCTTGGGCTAGTTGCATCCCCTTTGCGCCTCAGTTTCCCCATCTATGAAATGGGCTGGTACTAGCCAACACAACCCCTCTCGTGGGGCAGTGGTGAGGATGAATTGAGTGAAAGCATTTAGGTTTTAAAAAGCACAGTGCAAATGCAGGTGTGAGCCCATTGTCAGTATTTCTCTCTGTCCTCTCTCTTGTTCTTAAAGAACAACCGAGACATGAACAAATACGAAGGCTGGCCGGAGCTGCTAGAGCTGGAGGGCTGTGTGCCCCGGAAGGTATTTTAGGGTGACCGTGACTCTTCCCGGGTTGCTGTGAGCTGAACTACCAGGAGTTGAAGGACAACGGAGGAAGAGAAGGGAGAGGGAGCCACAGCATGGGAAGTGCCAGAGATCCTCACAGAGACCGAAAACAAAACCCTCCTATGGACTGCGGCGTCTCCCTGGAGGTGGCCAGCTTTGGAGGGTCCTTCTGGCGTAGGTGGTCTATGGAGAAGCAGGTGTGCTTTCCCTCAGGAAAGGCTGACTGTCACCCCCGAGAGAAGATGGACTGCCCCCACCTGGGCACAATTAAATTCTATTTTTGCTGATTTTCAATGAACTTTCCAACCACTCAGTGTGCAGCATTTCTCCCTGGGATCAAAATTGTCTAAATGGGGGTTGCTTGGGCTGCAAGTTTGGATGGGTTTTTGACAGCTTCGGGCACTTGGGTAAGCAGCTGGAAAAGAGGTTGGTTTCATAGGAATTTCATTTAGGCATGAAAGAATCCACGGTTCCCAGCATAAGGTATAAGATTCTCAGGAGCAGAGCCAGAAGACTGGACAGAGAGAACATTGTCTTCACCGGCTGTGTGGATGAGAGCTGGAGGGGAGGAGGAAGTGGGGAGATCTGACAACGGATGGTGAGAATGGCCAGGCGTCAGAGGACCATCCCAGCTGTCTTCGTGTGGGTTCCCCACGAGCAGCCCCTGAGATCTATTTGGGAAGTGATTCTAGAAAACACCAAAAGGGGAGGTGGGGGAGTAAGACAGGGGAAAAAAGGAGCCAATAAAGGGTGTGTTATCGACTCAACTACTGCTATGCCACGTGGAGCTAGCCCCATGGGGACCTTTTGGAATCAGTGTAGAGAATGCACCCCAGAGACCTCTTAGTCAGGGGTGAGAGAACCGGGATCC